GCGCTCGGTGGAGTCCCTCGGGCTGCTCTACGTGGAGGATTGGCGGCGCGCAGACACGGGGCAGGGCAGCGAGGGTCGTTGGGCGGTTGTTGAGCAGGAGGCGGAAAAAAAAAACAGGCACAACGAATCGTCGGCTCCCAGGAGATGAGCTTGGCGAAGGACCCAACCATATGCATGTGTGAGTCCCTGTTGGGCCATGATGCGTGTGAAGGGTGTGCCGAAATCTGTGCGGCGGGCGCATGCGAACGCAGCCACTGGGGCCTTTGGTGGAGCTCACTATGGGGCCACGAAGCGTGTGAGGGGTGTGCCGAAATGGGTGCGGCGGGCGCATGCGAACGTAGCCATTTTGGCCTTCGGTCGAGCTCCCTGTGTAGCCACGAAACGTGTGAGGGGTGTGCTGAAATTTGCGCGGCGGGCGCATGCGAACGCAGCCATTGAGGCCTTTGTGGAGCTCCCTGTGGGGCCACACAAGTGTGAGGGGTGTGCCAATATTGATGCGGCGGGCGCATGCGAACGCAGCCGCTGGCGCTTTCGGTGGAGGTCCCTACGGAGCCACGAAACGTGTGACGGGTGTGCCGAAATCTGTGCGGCGGGCGCATGCGAACGCAGCCACTGGGGCCGTTGGTGGAGCTCACTATGGGGCCACGAAGCGTGTGAGGGGTGTGCCGAAATGGGTGCGGCGGGCGCATGAGAACGCAGCCATTGAGGCCTTCGGTTGGGCTCCCTACGGGGCCACGAAACGTGTGAGAGGGTGTGCCGAAATCTGTGCGGCGGGCGCATGCGAACGCAGCCACTAGGGGCCTTCGGTGGAGCTCCCTACGGGGCCACGAAACGTGTGAGGGGTGTGCCGAGATGGGTGCGGCGGGCGCATGCGAACGTAGCCATTGAGGTCTTTGTGGAGCTCCCCACGGGGCCACGAAACGTGTGAGGGGCGTGTCGACATGAGCGCGGCGGGCGCATGCGAACGCAGCCACTAGGGGCTTTCGGTGGAGGTCCCTATGGGGCCACGAAACGTGGGAGGGGCGTGCCGAACCAGAGACAGACGGAGGGCATAAGCGAAAAGGGGAAGGAGGGAGTAGGGGGAGGAGGAGGAGGAGAGGAGAGGAGAGGAACGCGGGGACCGTCTCACCACACGACGTTTGGGAAATGCCAAAAATATGTGAAGTGGGGGGGAGACGAAAGCGCAGAGAATATGGGAAAAGATAGGGGAGTCCTGGGATGTGTGTGTCTATTGATTTGTGTGTCCCTGGGCCCCTTTAGTTGAGCCCCATCGGGGGCGCCCTCGCTGAGAGCAGGACGACCCCGAGGACCTGAGGAGTCGGACGTCCGATTCGAGCCAAAATGGCCGCACAGATGGGGGGAGGGCGAGGGGGGCTGCATCGCAGGAGGGCGAAGGGGCTCCCGGGGAGCCCCCCCGCAGTCTGAGGAGTCTCGTCCCAGAAGCTTGCGATCCCCTCTGAGAAGTCTCCCTGTCGTCTTCGAAGGCCCTCCCCACCCACCCACTGCGCGCCGGCGGGAGGAGGTGGTACCAACAGCGGATCCATCAGATGACCCACTTCCAGACGCTGGGCCACCGTCTGCGACGACCAAGCCCCGTATTCGCCGGCGAGATCCCCGAGCTAAACAAACCAGCATCGTGAATGGAGCCGAGAAGTGGCTCCACGTGACACGGCACTCGAGTGTGAATGAGTTGCAGACGAAGATGGAGGCTTTAGGTATTCCCATGCTCGCAGCCATGCCGATGCCAGACCAAGATCTCGGGGAGCCTGAGGATCCTGGAAAGGCACTTCCTAGACGAAGCCACGTAGCGCTCTGCGACGTCGATTTCCGCCCGAAGGGCGGTGTTGCGCTCGTCTTCGGCAGCGAAGGAAGGGGGATATCCGGGGAGATGCTGGCAGCCTGCGGCCACCGCTGCTTCTCGATCCCAACACCTGGCATGACAGAAAGCCTGAACGTGAGCGTCACCGTGGCGCTCTGCGCCTTCTGGGCGAGGGAGGCTCGCCTGTCGGCCGTTGCACCCGCCTCCGGGGGGACGTCGACGAGGGCCACCACCGACCTGGACGCGGGCGCGGCCGTGGCCCTTCAGGAGCATTACCGCCGGCTCAGCGGGGAGCACAACTTCGTGAGGCGGGTCAAGAGGGGCGACGTCAAGGCGGCCGCCCGCGACGCCACCGGGGATGCCGCCGACCAGCCCGGCCCCGCTGCCGCACTGGAGCCCCGCTCGAGGTGCCCGCCCTTCAGGAGGGACATCAGCATGTGGATCCCGGACGCCTTCGTCGACAGCGACCTCCTGGAGGTGATCCGTGGCGAGGGCGGGGACCAGGTCGAAGCGGTGGACTTGATCGACGAGTTCACGGACGGGAAGACCGGCAGGAAGTCGAAGGCCTTCCGGGTGGTCTGGCGCGATTCGTCTCGGGCCCTCACCAGCGAGGAGGTCAACGCGAGGCACGGGGCCGTGCTCAAGCGGGTCGTGGGCGAGCTGGCAGTGGAGCTGCGCTGAGCGCGAGCGCCTGGCACGCAGCACGTCTGTCGCAGCGAGCGGGGCCGGAAGTCATTCGTCGCAGGCATGTGTGGAATGCCTCGGCCAAGGCTATACGCCCCCGAGGACCACAGCTCCAGGGGTCGCCCGAGCCTCCGGGCGGGGAGGTCCCAGATGGGGCACAGCGCATCGCCCCCGCGGAGGGACGCCGTCGTGGAGGGCAACGGGTTCCTTGCAGGGGCTCAGCCGCGCTCTGCGACGGTGCCGTGCGGTCTCGACATGCTGTCAGCCGGCGCACTATGCGGGGGTCTCAGGGAGCGGAGCGTCTGGTTCTGGGCTGGAGTTTGTGGACCGTTGGTGTCGGGATGAACGCGGTGACGGAGCGAGTTTGTCAACGTGATCACGGAGTCGTTCCCGCCCTCAGTCTGACAGTTGCAGTTGCGATGATGGTGTTCAAGGTGCCTGCAGTGGTGGACACCTAGTCCGAAACCGTGACCCTTTCGATGTAAGTGGAGAGTCGCGTATCAACGACGAGAAGGTAGACAGGCTGGCTGTCATGGTGGTTGGGTGATTATCGCTGGGCTCGAAATATCGATGATTCTCGGGACGTGCGTTAGCCCAATGGGTGTGTGTGTGTGTTGCTTCGTTCAGCTCCGCCGATACTGCGCAGCCTGTGTCAGCCCTCGCTTACACTGCCTGCCTCGTATCGAACGGCTTCGGTGGACAAGCACACGTTGGCGCTAACACACGTTCTGAGGACCATCGGAAGTGCTGAACACCGGCGCCGTTTGGCATGGTGCTGGTCCTCATCACCACAGTTGGACGACGGAGGAGAACAGGGTTGTTTGCGCCGACATTCCCGCTCAAGCTGCCCGCGTAAGGTCGCGCACAAGCTCCCACGCCTCCGACGCAGCGTGCCGCGCTGGCGGCCCGCGTAAGCCGCCGCGTAAGGTCGCCATGTCATCTCGCGTAAAACCAGTGTTTGATCGTCGCTCAGTTGGCAGCTTCATGGCACCGCTCTCCCAGCTTCAAGCATGTGAGGTTGACTTGGCCTGGGCGTAGCTCCTCGGCCCGTGCTGATTACAGCTGCACCTTTGCCTGCAAGCGTCGAGCCCCTCTCGGCGACCACCAAGGGTGTGTTTACGCCGGGTGTGGTTTGCAATCGGCACCGTTGAAGCTTCGAGGGCCACCACGTTGCGCCAAATGCTTGATGAGCCCTCGTCGGGGCGCGGCGGACATCTCTGTCGAGGTCCTCGCCCGCCCCCCCCCCCCCCAAGAGGAGCGGGTTGCAAGCCGCACCCTTTGCAAATCGCACCCTTCGGAGTCGCCCACCATTGGTCCCAATCTGCTTCTGCTGGCACTTGCTCCGCTGCTGTTCTCGTCCGACGTCTCTCGGGGAAGCGTAAGTGTCGAGTTCTCCCAACCTCGGGTTTGCCGACGCTTTTGGACGGGCCCGTCTTTGAGTTTTGACGGTCCAGTTGATGTGAGATGTTTGCAGCAGGAGTTCGCATTGAAGTGCAGGCTGGGTCTCGTCATTTTCTTGACGGCCCCGTCGGGTCAACCCGAGTTCCCCGAACCCGAGTCTTACGTCTCCCCGAGTCTCTGGCGTGACGAGGCGGTGGGCGGGCGCGCGAGGCAAGCATCACAATGTTTACATGTTCAGCGCCGCACGCACTGCGGAAAGTAGTCGTGCGAGGCTCTGCAGTGACCCTCTCACAGCTGTGTGAGAAGAAATCTAGCCAACTTCGAGGAGGAAAAAGACTCCTTGGCGCTGCCATCTACGCTGGGCAATCTGTGTTGTGCAGTCTACCCAGCGCAATCTGGAAGATGCAATCTGTTCAGCTGCCTGCGGCAAGTCCCGCCACCGTGCCAGCCCAGCATTCTGGGTGGGACTGTTCGAGGAGGCACGGGAGACCGTCACGTGTGACACTTCGTGTCTTCAAGCCTGTGAGTGCTGTGGTGAGGATGGTGAGGACGATGATGACGAGGAGGAGGAAAGGGAGGAAGGCCGTCACATGTGACACCTTGCGTCTTCACTTTCTGAAGAGCTCTCATGGAGCTCATTTAGGCCGTCTTGGAGCTGTCTTGGGCTCTTGTGGGGCGGTCTTGGGCGTCCCAAGGTGCCACACTGGGACCTCATTGGGCCGTCTTGAGGCCCCCCGTATATCGTTGTGGGGCTCTCTGGGCCGCCTTTGGGCCCCCCTGGCTGTATGGGGGGTGTCTTGAAGCTGTCGGAGGCCACTATGGCACCATCTTGGACCGTCGAAGGGCCTTCTAGGATCGTCTTGGATCTCTCCGGAGGCCTTCCTATGCCGTCTTGGGGCCGTCTTGGAGGCCTCTTGGGCCATCATGGGGTCCTCTTGGGCCGTGCTGAGTCTCTATGGGGAGACTCTTGGGCCGTCTTGTAGGATTTTTGGACCGACTTCAGCTGCCGGCAGCCCGAAAATGCGAGAAAGCCCAGAATTGCCAAAAACGCAACGGGAAACAATAACTTTGCGTTCTGCGGGCACAGCTGGCGAAATTTATCGAAGACGCCCACGGCGAATCACCGCCGGCCCCTGTCTTTGAAAGAGCCTATGTGGCCGAACGTTGCGGCCAGAGCTCGACCAAGCTATCGGACTATGTGTTCCACCAGCCGTTGTGAAAACACTTCAGGGAACACGAGGGGGACAAAGAAGAAGAGGAGAAGAGGGAGGAGAAAAAAGGAGGAGAGGAGGAGGAGGAGGAGGAGGAGGAGAAGGAGGAGGAGGAGGAGGAGGAGGAGGAGGCGGGAGAGACCTCTTTGGGCACTCTTGTGGCCTCCAGGGGGCTAGTTGGGGGCCTCGGAGGCCTCTTGGGAGCTTCCCTAGGCATCTTCGGGGCCTTGGAGGCTCCTTGAGAGGTTCTTTGGCAGTCTGAGGGCGTTCCTGGCCAGTCTCACGCCGTCGGCAGCTGTCGTGGGGGCCTCTCTTGGCCGACTTGGGGCGGCCCTCGTGTGGCGCTATAGGGCCGTCTTGGAGACCATCTTGGGCGTCTTGAAGGTCTCCTGGGCGGTCTTGGGGTCGTCTTGTGGACCTCTTGGGCCATCAGGTGTGCATCTCGGAGGCCGCTTGAGCGCTCTTGGGGCCATCTTGGTAGCCTTTGGGGCTGTCGTGGGCCGCATGCCAAAAACCCAGGGAAAACCATGGAGGTTGACCTCCTCGGGCCCTCCTAGAGGACCTCTTGGAGGCCTCTTGGGGGCCTCTTGGGCAGTCTTGGGTGATTTTGAGGCCATCTTGGGCCGTCTGGGCTGCATCTTGGGCCATCTTGGAGGTATCTTGTGACTATCTTAGGCTCGCTTAGGCCCATCTTGGCCTTATCAGAATCCATCTTGAGCGCCTTGGGGGCGTCTTGGACCGCCTGTGGGCCCTCATGAGGCCGACTTTGGGGGCCTCTTGGGCCGTCATGGTGTCATCTTGGAGGCCTCTCAGATGATCTTAGGGCGTTCTTGGAGACCTTTGGGCCGTCTTGGGCCGTCGGAAGGCAAAACAGGAGCAAATACCAATATCATGCAATAACCAATGGAAAATCAATGATGTTGGCCTCTTCAGACCTTCCTGAAGGACCTCTTGGAAGCCTCTTGGGCCGTCTGAGGGGCCTCTTGGGGGCCTCTTGGGCCACCTGGAGGCCAACTTAGGCCGTCTGGGCTGCATCTCGGGCCGTCCTGGAGACATGTTGCTGCCATCTGGGGCACTCTTGGAGCGCTGAAGAGCCCTCTTGGAGGCCATCTTAGGCGTGTTGGACGCCTCTTGGGGTGTCTAGTGGCCGTCTTGGGGGCCTCGTGGGCCGTCGTGGAGCCATCTTGGAGGCCTCTTGGGTGATCTTGGGGGCCTCTTGGGCCGTCTTGGGCCGTCAGAAGGCATCTTGGAGCTATCTTGGGCTCTCTTGGGGCCATCTCGGCCGTCTGGGAGGTCATCTTAGCCGGCTTGGAGGCCATCTTGAGGCCATCGTAAGCGGAAATACCGACGGGAGACTAAATTTGAGGAGCTTCCAGGGTGGCCGGCGGGATCGGCCAAAGCTCTGGATGGATTTTACCAATAACCCAAGATTGCCAACAGTTCAGCACTATAGGCACCCCGGGCGACCGATCGAAGACGCCTACGGCGAATCACCGCCACCCCCTGCCTTTAATCGCCCATCTTGCCGAACGTCGTGGCCAGAGCTCTACCAAGCTATCGGACCATGTGTTCCCTCAGCCGTTGCGGAAACCCTTCGGGGAACACGCGGGGGAGAAAGAAGAAGCGGAGGAGACGGATGAAACATAGAGAGGAGGATGAGGAAGAGCATGAGGAGGAGGAGGAGGAGGAGGAGGAGGAGGAGGAGGAGGAGGAGGAGGAGGAGGAGATTGAGGAGGAGGAGGCGGAGGAGGAGGAGAAGGCTGAGGAGGAGGAGGAGGAGGAGGAGGAGGAGGAGGAGGAGGAGGAGGAGAAGGAGGACACTTGGGGTCTCCTGGGAGCTTCCTGGGAGCCTCTTGGAGGCCTTGTGGAGACTTTTGGAAGCCTCCTTGGGCCTCTTGGCGGCGATTGGGAGCTTCGTGGGGGACTCTTGGGCCATCTTAGGGCGTTCCTGGCCCTTCTGACGATGTCGGACGCCGTTTTGGATGCCTCTCTGAACCAACTTGGGGCCCTCTTGGGGCGCTTCAGGGCCGTCTTGGAGCCCATCTTGGGCGTCTAGGAGACCTCTTTAGCCCTCTTAAGGCCGTCTTAGAGGCCTTTTGGGACGTCAGGGGGTCATCTTGGAGACTTTTCGGACCATCTTAAGGCGGTCCTAGGGGGCTCTTGGGCCGTCTTGGGTCGTCGGAAGGCCGAAAAGAAGCAAATGCACAAATCCTTCAAACACCTAATGACAATGCATGATTTGGGCTTCTTCCAGCTCTCCTGGAGGACCTCTTGGAGGCCTCTTGAGCCATCTTGGAGGCCTCTCGGGGGCCTCTGGGGTCATCTTTGGCCGTCTGGGTTGCTTCTTGGGCGGACTTGGAGGCATCTGGGACCCTCTTGGGCCGT